TTTTTTACCTCATCCCTCAAGTGAGTCATTGTTTTCTTAATAGGAATTATATCATCGCCTGTTTCCAAGAGTATGATCCAGGCAGCATTGTAAATATCAGGATGGAACTGGCTGAGACACAATTGCTCACACAAAGCCCTGCAGTGCTTGCTGTATCTGAGGCATTTGACTCCAAGCATGTAGCAGAAACAGCCTAGACCTAAGAAAGAAGGCACGCAACAGCCAAGTGGTCTGTCCCAATCCTAAAAGCAGCTTGACAAGCTGTTCTCCTCACAAAAATGCATGCCACTTGTCGTGAAATTCTGGATGCTATACGTTGCATTACATGTATATAGTTACAGGTTTAAATATAATTTATGACCATATCAGTCATGAACAGGGGATGAATGAGCGAAGAATATAAATATATACTGGGTTCTGTCTAATTCCTTTTAAGCCTGTGGCAAAGCGGTATTCCCTCATTCCCAGTCTCTCCACCTTCTCTCTGACCAGCACCACTTAATATCATTTAAGTCAATAATATGGGTTATGAAGTCACCATTCATAACACAAATTGGCTGTGTACTTTGAGATTCAAAGTTAAAGCACAAGACAAGGAATGCAGCTATTTTCACCCAGGTACAGGGTATATGACTCATTAGTCAAAATTCTTACATGGCTTTTTTGTAAGATGAGGTATATAATTTGCCCAAAGTCCACAAACCAAGATCTTATTAGGATTATTTAACTCTTAATTTTCTCCAGTAGTGAGAAAAAAGTCAATACTGATCTTGCTAAAAACAATTTGGCAATATAAATCAAGAGTCTGAAGGATGTCTGCATTCTGTGAGAAACAGAGTTATAAAAAATAATTGTGGCTCCTATCAAGATGGTGGAGTAAGTAAACGCTGTGCTCGCATCAAAATTGCGACTAAATTATGGAACGATCAACCTGGAGAACCATCTGAAGACCAGCTGAACAGAACTCCTATAACTAAGGATACAAAGAAGAAGCCTCATCAAGACTGGAAAATTCTGAAGTTTACAGTCTCTCCCCAAAAGAAAAAGAAGAAAAGAAATAATCAGGGATATGGACAAAGGTTTAAATATAAAGATGCTTATCAAAGTATATTTACAATAGAGAAAATTTGGAAAACAATAAGAAAATAAAGTATGGTCTCTCTATATGAAGGAATATCATGCAGCCATTAAAAAGCATGTCCAAAATTTATAATAATACTAATACACTCAAAATGAGAAGCAATCGTGAATAAAAAAATTGAGACATTAAGCTTTATATATACAATGTAATAATATCATGTTTATGTATAGAATAAATATTGAAAGAAAAGACAGTAAATTATATTGGTGCTGATTCTATTTTCATCGCTACATATTTCTGTATTTTCCACAATGATTTTATATCAGTTTTATAATCATAAAAATTATAAACAATACAAATTAAAGATATCCTATCAGGTTTGTACAAAGCACTGCACAAAGTATGAGGCTGTGGAATAAAAGCTGCTCTGTATACACAGCTTTTAAAAGAGTGGTCCCCACATCAACCTCACCTAGGAACTCAAGTCTCAATAGTGAAGAAAATGCCCTGATGGGCTCTAAGAGCTTTGATGTGTAAACCACTCCATGCTAAGAGCACATTCTCCATAGACAGAATCTCACAGAATCCCTTAGTTAGTATTCATCTGCCTTTCTCATAAGACATGACCTAGCAAGTCACTTTCAGTTAAATCTGAAAGAGGGGCAGAGGGCCCCAGGTAACATGATGCACCCAAAACATGTCTGCAGCTCTGACAGGTGCAAACAACTCCACTCGTCTAAATATAAACTTAGGCTGTTTGGAAACAGTCTTTCTCCCTTTCTATTCTCATCAGGCACAAGAATGTTCTCTTCTTTAGTTGAGACTGTTGGTGCTGGTTATTTTTATTCAGATTCGCTCTGTAATAATTTTTATTCAAAGAGAAGTACTGTTATAACTCTAAAAAGGAAAAAAAAAAGATTTTTGTTCCAAAATCTTGTATGAAGACAGGACCTCATTTTGGAAGTCCTGTTTTTGAAGTGTGTTGAGGAGAAGACATTTACAATACTTTTATAAACCTTCCGGTTGAGCAAAAAGCTGATGTTAACCCATGCATGAAGAAACATTTTTTTAATATTTAAACCAGATAGAGGACTTAATTTTTAATCAGTAAAGTGGAAATTCTTTGCAGGAATGTAGAGAACTCTGCACTTTTGCTAATTCCTGCCATTCTCTCTCCCATCATTCCTAAACTTTAACTCCCCCTTCAGGATGCTTGCTGCTCAGTGGTCACTTCTCTAGGTAGCCTTCTCTGACCTCCCCCACTCCCCTCCTACAACTCCACTGCCACACATGTGCAGTCTTGCTCTTAGCTATCAAAACACTGAGATTTACCTTCCATACATTTATCCCACATTATTATTTAACCTAAGAGCCTCCTGAGAGTACAGTTATATTTTATTATTCCATCTCTAGCACTCAGGTTTATTATAGTTACTCAATGTGTTGTTGAATGAATGAACAAATGTGTAAGAGAAGACTGAAGGAGTCACTGATGAGCCCACGTGCAAAGGAAGAATAAAGACAGTGCTACCAGCAAAAGACATGAAAAAGAAAAGGTTATGGGAAAATGATAATTAGCTATACTTAGCCAGTGCTAGTCTTTTTGGTTTATTGGGAGGCGGGGGGAGGGGTTAGCTTATTAAATGAAATTAGAACTAAAATGCCAGATATTATAAAAGGAACTTGCTATGCATTAACTGAAGGGTTGATATTGTCCATTTTTACTTTCTTTCTGCTATAAAATGAGAGGGCGATGCAAGATCTCATCCAAGGGCCAGTCCAGCTGTCAAGTTCTAGGGCTCTGGGACTGCTCTGAATTCTGTTGGAACAGTCCTCCAGGGCTTGCACCCAGCTCTATTCTAATTGCAAAGGAGACTGTGTTCTTTTCAAACTCACAGACGCCATACTCCTACCTACCAAGACTGTGGTGTGCCACAGCTAAGTTTAGCCCCACTCTCCTGTTCTGAAATAGTCATCTAAACCACAGGGGAAATTATTACCCATGGTTTCCTAGATCTAAGTAAGGAAGATGTTTCCAAACCCTAATGCTGTAAAGTTGTATTTACTTGTCCCAACTTCTTCCCAGTTTGGTTCAGATCACCCTTTGCCTGTATACATTTTGCAAGACCTGTTGGCTCTTTATCTCTGCCCACTCCTTTAGCATGCTCAGTACACTTGAGAAACGTAGCCAACACTTGGCTTAATAAATCTCCAACCTACTCATCAGCTAATAAAAAGGGGGTTGAGAGTTGGGAAAGGGAATATTGTATAGAAACTTTATTTACCAACTGTCTACCAATAGCTGATTTCACAGGAGATCCTTTATTAGATTTGTCCATTGAAAGAGAAGAAAGAGGACTAATGATTGGCCTTCAGACAGGGAGACTATGTCTTGGAAAACTCTGAAGGCCTGTATTGGATTACTGTAACCTACTGGCATTTTGGTCTTAGATCCCTAGATTGATTTGAGGGCACTCCTCTTTAATGAAAATGAAAATGACAGCTAATGTTTTTTTTTTCCCCCCCTACTCTGCTTTCTATAACCAATCAATGTTTTAAGGTTTGTGTGTTCTTTATAAAAGTTATATGTGATTCATAAACTGTTTCCAATATTGGTATTGGAAATGTATGTAAACATGATAGTACAGCCAGTTTTTTTCATACATGAGTATAAATAAAATAGTATGTTTAAAAGTAAAAAAAAAAAAATAGAATCTGCTCTTATATCCCTTAAAGCATAAATTCTCAAATACCATATTCGACATAATGAATTTTCATAAAGCTAAATATATCCAATGTAAAAGACTGGCCTTTACTCTGAGATCATGTGTTTCCTGCATTTTGTTGTTATTGTTGCTAAAAGAAGCTTAAAAAAAAAAAGAATGGTAACAGTAGATGGTAAGGGTTATTATTATTATTATTTTAATGTCTTTATTTGACACTTTAAAATGCTGGCAACCCTGTATCAACTTTCAATGTTCATTAAAATTAGAAAACTGAGATTCTCATCTCTAAAGTGACTAGCTCAAAACTGATCACAGAGGAGATTATATATATGACTATATAAATATATGTTTAAGAGAAGAGGGGCTTCTCTTAAGATTCTCATCTCTAAAGTGACTAGCTCAAAGCTGATCATCACAGAGGAGATTATATATATGACTATATAAATGTATGTTTAAGAGAAGAGGGGCTTCTGGTCTCTTCTAAGCTTATCATTCTCTACAGACCTCAAAATGTCTCGTGGAGATTATGGAGGAACTGTAGATCCAGGCCATTTTTATAACAGATTCAAGTCAGGCAATTTCTTCTAAAATATACCTACCTGATGGATATCGGTCCTTTGCCCCAGTAACAACTTTATAAAAAGAATTTTTGCTGTATTTCTTTCACAGTAAAACCTGGACCAGGACAGGTACAAAGCAAGCGTTCAATAATTGTTTTCACACTATCTCAGGAGCTGGGAATAGCTATCCCGGAGAAATGCCACCTAAATAGAAGGGAAAGAAAAGTATTCTCTAAGGGCTTCTCCAGGCTCCGCAGGTAGTAGGGAAGGTCGTGGTCATCTCTGAAACCTGTGCCTAAAATGTAGATGAAGGCGGGGCCAGCAGGACAGCGAAGGAAGGCTTTGCCCCGCTAGGACTTTGCCTAGAAGAGGGAACTTTTGTAAGCCGCTTGTGCCAGGCCTCTTGCTATAATGGGATGCTCTTCTGTTGGAAAGTGCCTCTGCCCCCTGGTGCCAGTCCCCGGGCTTCTGAGGAAATATTGACCCACCGCCCTTCCCAGGCCCTGGACTGCAGCCCTATCTCTCCCGGCACTCAGCCGATCACGTGGAGGAGAGGTGCTCTCCGGACCCGCGGCTCCACGGCCATTGGTCCACAGCTCGCGTCCCGGGCACGCCCATTGGCTGCGGGGGGCGTTCACGTGAAAGGGGGTCTGGGATGGCGTCCCGAGAAAGGCGAGGTGGCCGGAAAGTTAAAGGGAGCAGCGCGACGGCGGGTAGCCAGAGTCTGGGGTAGCCGGCAGCAGGGAGGAGGCGAGCGGGATGCTCTTGCGCACGGACGGATGCGGCTGCCCGCGGAGGGAGCGGACCTGAGTCCCGGCCCCCGCTCCTGCTGTGACCCCCGCTGCCCCTGCTACCCCCGCGCGCATGCTGCCGCCGGCTCGTGCCTCTGCACCTCCTGCCTTATGAGCTGTACCAGGTACGTCCTCCCCAAGTCCTGCAGTCCAAGTGCAAGGCCGCAGAAACGGCGGCGAGGGGCGCGCAGTGAAGACCCTGTTTGGTTCTTGCCATCTACACTTTCTTCGTCCAACTTGCAGTTATACTCCGGGTGGAACACGCTAGACGGGCTCCAGGAAGCTGTTGCTTCTACATGGAGAGGGCAATTCAGGGACGACAGGTGGGAATGGAGCCTGGTGGGACCCACGTGTTCCACTGAGGCGCAGTCCCCGCCGCGAGGGGTGACGGGCGTGGGGTGGGGTCTGGGGCTGGGACCCCAGATACCCTTGTCTCCTATTGTGCCTGGTTCGAACCGGGCACAAGGCGTTTCCAGCCTGGGACCGGACACTTCTGGAAGGTGTCTCCGGAGCTGGGCGGTGGGGTCTAGAGCACAAGGAAAAGTCGCTTCGCCTCTTCCCCGGCCTCGAGTTCCTTGTAAAACTCAAGGAAACACACTTGGTTGTCTCTCAGGCCCCCGAGGGCGATGGGACCTGGCGCGCCACTGTGGCTGCGGGCTCGAGGAGCCGGGTCACCCCCAGCCCCCAGTCCCCAGACTGGGGCTGTCCCGGGCAGGCTGGGGCGAGGCGGCCGCGCGGGGACGCTCGCGCGGCGCCGCTCGGGCCGGAGCTACCCCGCTACCCCGCCACCCCGCCTTGGTGTAATTGGGCTCCGCCTTCTCCTCCTCCTCCTCTTCCACCTCCTCCTCCAGGAACCAAGCGTAGTCCGGTGGCGGCGGCCTCCCCTGCCACCTTCCTCTGAGCTCTCCGATGCAGCGAACAAGCTGGGGAGGGGGCAACCCCGCGGCCCCAAAGGTGGGTGCCCGACTGGGGGAAGGAGGCTCGCGGAATCGTTGGGGGCGGGGTGCAGCCGGGCCAGGCTATACAGAGAAGGGCCGAGTCGGGGTGACCTGTGGGATCATCCAGCTTGGACGCTATAGCCTGCCTCCCCTTGACCCCTGCACTGGGTTCATGCCACCCTTTTGAACTCAGAGAAAGAGGTGTAGGAGAGACTTGCTGCAAAAGAGGGTGTAGAGGGCCCAGAACAACAGACGAGAAGATTTGGGGCCCGTCATGGCATTGTTTCCTGCAGAAGAGGAGAAAATTGGGGAAAGACTTGACTTGGGAACGTGGAGAGTTGCTAGAAGGTGTTGGAGCCTGTGGTTTGTGTGGCCAGGCCTCCCTGGGAGACCTAGGGTCCAGAAGAAGAGAGCATTAGGGCTTTGAGCTGGGGTGCGGAGGAGAAAAGGAAATGGTTCATTTGGCACGGTTGTCCAGGAGCCAAGACCGAAGCAAAGCCAGCTGGAGGCCTTACCACAAAAGTAAAGTTGAGGTATTCAGGGAAAGTTAGTAGGAAGAGGAGGACCATCGGGCAATATTAGCAACCAAGAATGTCAGTGCTAGAAGGAACCACAGAGGAGAAAGCTCAAGCCCAGAGAGAATGAGTGACTTGCACCAAGTGACACAGCTAGGTGGAGGCATGCATGGGTCAGTGGTCTGTGTTTCCCGTTGGACATTTTTGGATGGCTGGGACTGTGCCATTGAACTTATCTTGTTTCTATAATATGCAGCCTCATCCACAGATATTAATCTCAAAAATGCTTTGGATAATGGTGACACGATGGAGGAGTACAAGTGGCTTTTAAGGCTGTGAATAAGGGCCCTGAGGTCTGAGTACAAAGGGAAAGATGTCATACTGTGTCAACCAAACCTTTTGGGAGGGGATAAAGGAATGCTGAGGGGGTAGATGGCCATGTCTTCAAAAAAATTACAATCTGGTTTTGGCTGCTTACTTAATGGAGTTTCAGTGTTCCTGGGGGGTGAAGGGTTGTTGGTACATTTTATTTTTCCGTCTTTGCTTATCAAAGTACAAGGGAATGGAGCGGGGGGAAATGTCTTGGCCTCAATACAAAAAAAAAATACTTTTTAAAAAAGGCACAGCCAGAAAGTCAGTAGCTCAGCTGCCTGAAACTATGAAGGTCATGGGGTTATTTTCTGTACAAGCCTATAGTTTTCACAAGAAAAATCACCACGACATCTAGCCCTGGCTAGCTGTCTTGAGATGGTGTGGTTTTTCTGTTTTTTGTTTTTGGCACCAGTGGAACAGGGAAAGTATTTATGCAAAACTATCTTTGTTCTTTCCAATTTTCATTGAGTGTTAGAGTTGTCCCCTCTTGACCAGAACACTGAAATCTACCCATGGGCATGGCCCAGTCCCTCGTGGGGCCAAATTGATCTCAGGCATCTATTTGGAAGCAAAGTTTTTGAGCATCCTTACTGGTCTGGGAAACAGCTACTCGACTCTCATGATCCTGTCCTGCAACGAACTTGTATCCACGTCCTGTGTCACGCTGTGCTAGGTCAAATGTGTATTCATATCTTCTTGTTCGGTTTTTTCCCCTGGCCAGCCTGGTGACTCATATCATATCTTGACAACCTGGGTGTCTGGATGAGGGAAGGGGCTGGAGCAGCAGGAGGGGGCCTGAGTACAGCCTGGTACATCCTGTGTTGGAACTGATCATTTTCATACCATTTGAAGATAAAATACTTGTCCAGGTGCCTTTCTTTCAGAGACTTAGGAAACTATCACTTTGTATGTCTCTGTTGCTAAGACTACTTCTGGGCAATGGTCATCCCTGTCACAGTCCATTGGAGAATTCTGGAGCAGAGGGTCAGGAAGCCCTATAGGAAATCAGCACTTGGGTGACTGATTCTTGGAGAATGTTCCAGTTAATAAAAACTGGAATCTACATGAGGATAGGCAAAATGGTGAATGGTCAGATCATATCCTAGACTGAGGCCCCAGGGGTTAATGTCGTCACCTCCAGTTATGGTACATGCAGAAAGTAAAAGGATTCTGGGCAGGGTTGCTAGTGCAATGCCCCTGGGGCAGTAACCCTTGGGCCACCAGGTGGTTAACCGTACTTTTGCCTTTCATGGAAGAATGTTACAAAACCGATTAGGGCCGAGAAAGTGCCAATGGAATTGTTTATTTAGCTCTGGCTCTGACTAGAACTTCACCTCCAGACCCCCAGTACCACTTGTTCTTACAGCTTGGTAGTAAGAGGGGTCTTGGGCAAATTTACAGCACTGGGTCCAGTGTAACTTTTACCAGCTCTTCAACTAAGTCTTTTTAACCTGCAGGATTAAAACTTGAGAGTGACTTTAGTCAGCTGCAAGTGTACAGATTCTTTAACTGATCCCCTTATTTTAAGATTCTGTTTCCACAATATACCGTAAATTGCTCAGTCTTTTTCTAATGAACTGCTTTAAAGTCGTGCAGGAAAGCACGTATGAGGTTGGTTTGTGGGCTAGTCGGCCAGGCAGAGAGAACTTGCAGCTGACCTTGTGCTGACTCAGGGGAAGAGGAAGCTGTTGTGGCCAAGGAGGAACCTCTCCCTCAGTTCATATCCAGGTTGTCAAGAGTAGACAGAGTAGAAGAGGCCAAGATGCAAGGCTTTGCTCCCTATTTGTTTTTTTTCATCCGTATTTAGTAAAAAACAAACTAACTGTGTTAAAGTTAGAGCTGGAGGTATAATTCCAGTACATTCTAACAAAGTTTTGCAATGGACAAGGAAAAACTGAAATTCAAGTACTTTGTAAGTTTAGGGTTTTTTACCTCGAATCTGTTGGTGAACCCACTGACCCTCTTTTAAGCTATCTTGCTCAATTCAGTCAGAACTCTCCTTTCCAGAACATTTGCGTGGATACAAGAACAGATAATATGAAGCAGATTTGCCCCTAAAAGTTTCCATCTTTTGACTTTGTTAGAGAGGAAACATTAAGACAAATGTCCTTTAAAATGAATTGTTAGATAAGTACATTATGGCTATAACTTATTGTTTTATTTGTTTCTCAATGTGTGTGTTTTTTCAGTTGGTCATCACTAAGTGATTCCTGCATCCTAGGGAAGTGCTATACTTCTTTCAGAAAATGAGATCAAACCCATTATGTCTTTATCCTTTCTCATTTTTTTCAACATATTTGGTTAATCAAAATGAGATATTATTTATTGGACCAAACCAGTGGTCCCAGCTCTTGTCAGAAGGTGAGCAACATTTTGCCTGTCACTTCTTAGCTACCACCATCAACACCCCACCACCCCAACCCCAGGGTAGGAACTAGGAAAGGCCTGGGAACAAGCACCCCAACGCTTTGCCACATACCTACGCCTTTGACGTAGTGACAGGAGAGATGTTTGGGAATTAATCTGGATCCTGTGTTCAGTGATTCTCAGAGTAGAGATTTTAATCCTGGTTTCATCACTGACTTCTCAATTAGCCCATTGTAACTGTCAAATCAGAACGCCAATTTGCTATAGTAATTAGAATGATAAAAAATTGCTCAGCTTTAGTGAGGCAATTGTGTTGGATGTGTTTTTGGCCAATCTTAAAATATTTGAGGTTTTTTTTTTTTAGATTCACTTTTTTCTGATAACAGAAGGGATATTATTTTAGAAAGTATAAGAAAATACAAAGCAATAAAATAGGAAAACAAATTTCCTGAAATCCCATCAACTAGATATTCTGACAGTTTTAAGTATTCTCTAGTCTTTTTTCTGTGCATATACATAATATTTTTTCCCCATAAGTCTGGTCTCTATGTACAATTTTATCCTCTCCATTTTTTTACATTAAAAGTTATTTTTTTCATGCCATTCACATCTTTCTGCAAATAGTGGTTTTGATGATGATATAAAATTTTATCACATGAATGTGGCACACTTGATTTAACCAAATATCTGTTATTGGTTATTTAGACTATTTTCTACCCCTCCCCCTCCCCGTTATGTGTTGCTTTGAACATTTTAGTACATTAACCTCTGCGTACTTTTAATTATTTCCTAAGATAAATACCTGCATATGATATTAGAACCAAAAATGATAAGAACATTTAGAAAAGCTGAGTCAATTTGGACTAATGCTAGTATTTATATTATCTCTTAAAATTCTTTCCTACTTCAATAGGTAAAAGCAGGCATCATTTTCCAATCTAAATATCTTAAATTACTTACAAGATTGGACATTTTGCATATTTATGGGTCACTTTTAAATATCTTTCATGAATTTTCTATTCTCTTTGCTCATTTTTCTGTGTGGAATATTTGACTTCGTTATTGTTTTGTAAGACTCTTTACCTATTAAGGTATTACCTCTTTGCTGTTATGCTTTTTGTAAAATATTTTCCCGGTTTGTCTTCAATCTTTCAGTTTTAATTATTTTTTTACTTCAGAAAAATATAGTTTTTATGAAGTCAGATTTAACCTAATCTTTGGAACGATTCTCTTTGCTGTGTATTCTTATAGAGGCTCTCTTCACTGTAGGGGAAAAAAAAACATTTACTTATATGAAAGGTTTAAAAATGTTAAATTGCTGGATTTTTTTTTAAAGAAAGATATACTGGAATATAAAAATCTGTTCATTTAATGAAAGCAGATTTGTGTCTGTCTTCACTATTGAATCCCAGTGTCTAGCAGAATGCCTGGCATATAGTAAGCACCAATCAATATTTATGAGATGAATTGCTTTTTATTGGAACATATTTTCCAAAGTATGTTCCTCAGAACATGTGTTCTCTAAGATGCTCCATAAAAATCAGGTTCCCTAGTCAGATAAGTTTGAGAAGTGCTGCAAACAGTATGCTCTTTTATTAATCCCCATGGCACATTAGCATACTGAAGGCCCTAAAAAATCCTGACAGATAAACCTGTGTCCTTAGTGTTAAGACCAGTGGCTTCATACTTTTTTGTTTGTTTTAACCTTGCACCTCTTTTTACCCCCACTTCACACTCTTAATGTCCCCTGAAATCAAGGTCGTGCTGGACCACACTTGAGTTAATAATACTGAACTGTAGCCATGTGAGTGGAGATGAAGATCCTGTCCCTGTTGAGTCTAAACATCATTCTGATCTCATCGCTCTTTCTTTCTGTCCCGCTTTTGCCAGGGTTCTAGCCTGTTCATCTAACCCAATGATGGCTGTGGACATAGAGTACAGGTACAGCTGCATGGCTCCTTCCTTGCGTAAAGAGAGGTTCACCTTCAAGATCTCATCAAAGCCAAGCAAACCTCTGAGGCCTTGTATCCAGTTGAGCGGCAAGAATGAAGCCAGTGGAGTGGTGGCCCCAACCGTCCAGGAGAAAAAGGTGAAAAAGCGAGTGTCCTTCGCAGACAACCAGGGACTGGCCCTGACAATGGTCAAAGTGTTCTCAGAATTTGATGACCCGTTAGATATTCCATTTAACATCACTAAGCTCCTAGACAACATTGTGAGTTTGACGACAGCAGAGAGCGAGAGCTTTGTTTTGGATTTTTCTCAGCCTTCTGCAGATTACTTAGACTTTAGAAATCGGCTTCAGACCGACCACGTCTGCCTTGAAAACTGTGTACTGAAGGACAAAGCAATTGCAGGCACAGTGAAGGTGCAGAACCTTGCGTTTGAGAAGACGGTGAAAATAAGAATGACATTTGACACTTGGAAAAGCTTCACAGACTTTCCCTGTTGGTATGTGAAGGACACGTACTCTAGTTCAGACAGGGACACATTCTCCTTTGATGTTCGCTTACCTGAGAAAATTCAATCTTATGAAAGAATGGAGTTTGCTGTGTGCTATGAGTGCAACGGACAGACGTACTGGGACAGCAACAAAGGCAAAAACTACCGGATCATCCGGGCTGAGTTAATATCTACTCAGGGAACAGGTGAATCACAAAACGGACCAGATTTTGGAATATCCTTTGACCAGTTTGGAAGCCCTCGGTGTTCCTACGGTCTGTTTCCGGAGTGGCCTAGTTATCTAGGATACGAAAAGCTAGGTCCCTACTATTAGTGACTGCATGTGATGGAGCACGGCTGAGTGGGTGCAGACAGGCCTAGCTGTAGTCACAATGGGATGAAGATGGAAGCCAAGAGAATCGCCGAACTGCCATCAGGCACAGCTTTTGAAAAGAAGGGATCCTATTCACTTTTTTCTTAAACAAGCAAATCCAGCCAGGCTTCAATCACAGAACTGGTTTCACACTCAGAGTGGCTCTGCTGTGTGGGTCTGTTTGGCACTTGTGGCGGCCACAGGGCCTGAACGGGATGGCGGCAGAAAGGGTCTGCACAGGAACCAGGCCTGCAGGCTGTGCTGGCGATGCCGAAGGGTGGTGGCTTGACAGCGACACAATCGGAAGGGTGCCTGGGCTGTCTGGAGGAGCCACTCCTCTTCCCTTGAATGTCACTCCATCCCCAACCACCTTGCACTGGACCCTTGCTCTTCACCTTTGGGTGTTCTCCACCCAGCCAGGCCCTTCCTGCCTGTTGCTGCTGTTCCATGTCTACACGTACTTCCTACTTTATCTCTGTGCATTTTTTTTGCGTTTTTCTTCGACAGTTCATCTGATGTTCAGGAAAAGATAATAAAGACAAATCAGCCTATGAGACAAGTTGCGTTTTTCTTCAACAGTTCATCTGATGTTCAGGAAAAGATAATAAAAGATAATAAAGACAAATCAGCCTATGAGACAAGCATTTCCTCTTTCGGACCCCCCATATGTATTCCAGTGGAGAACACCACACCAGTTATCGAAAGTAACTGGCTCCTGTGCAGTGTTACAGATTGCTGGCTTATGACAAGCAGGACAGTCATGAGTGGGACACTTTTAGCTTCTCTTCTTGGCTTTTGGGGGAGCTTTCTAAGTACTCACTCTTACCCTGAGTCACCAGACGGCTCAATTACAAGAGCTGTTTTGACTTGCCTGGCTGGTTTGCAGGCGTCTCATTCTTCACACGGGATTTTAGATCTCCTTTCCTGGAGACTCGTCTTTCATGCTGTGTTCAGGACATTTGGATTTGCAGATCCAATATATCCTCAAAGCCTTCTGAAAATGTTTGCTTTTATTTTGACTGTGATTTACAATATCCAGGACACGCTACAAGCACCCAGGGACTTTGACTTGGGTGTTCTTATTTATGGTGTGAGTATGTTAAAAGGATAGGGGAGAAAAACCTCACTAAGTTCTCATATTTTATCTTTAATGTTTGCCAACTCTGAAATATCAGAGATTAATTGTTCTTCACCATATTAGACTAAAGAATTAAAGGTCTGTTGGTTCATACTATTGTCAAACTCCTGGGACTTTCAATGTCAGATGGATCCCCAAACCCTGTGACTTTTCTCGGGCAAGAGTGGTTTGTACTTGGGGGTGTTTAAAAATATTTTTACATGTGTATTTGTAGAAAGTTGTTTTTTTTTTCTGTTTTTATTTTTGGAGATTAAACAACTGATTTCCATTCTTCCCGATTTACTTAAAGTGAGGTTTTCCTAAGGGATGCGGAAAGAGGATGCACAGTTGCCTGCATTCGGGGCACAGCTACTGGTCTCTGCGGGCAAAGAGTCTTCTTTCGCTTGCATTTTCCAAATCTGTTCGAAAAGACCTCCAGGCTTCTGTGTAAATCAGCGTCGGGCAGGTACGGAGTGTCTTGGCTCCTGGAGTTTTGTGGGATTTTTTTTCTTTTTTGAACTTTAAAATACTTTAACTTTTTAAACACTCTTTAAATAGTATTCGATGTAATTCTTATTCCTAAAACTGGCTGTTACTAGTCTGCAGTCTAGTGCTTTATTTTTTATTCCTCTCCCAGGTGGGTAGCACTGAGGGATTGCATGATAATATAATAGATGGGAAAATCACATTTTTATCTTGTGCTGAAAATGGGCAGAACTCTTTTATCTAAGCTTATGTTACAAGTACACAGAGAGCACTTTCAGTGTTACAGATATGGTGATCAGAACTATTAATAGTGTAAAGATAAATCGAATGGAAGCAAACTGATTTTATATAGGTCATTTTGTTTTAAGAAGTCCCCACTCTCTTCCTCCAATTCAGGAAAGGCACAAGGTGCACTGTCCTTTACATGTTTCCAAACTAAAAGTGACAAAATTGTTCTATGTTCATAAGAAAACTGCCTCAAGTGACTCCTGTATGGTTTTCAGTAATAGTGATCTTAAGACATTCCTGTGTCAAAATTTGAAATAGAGTAATTCGGTGATAAGTATCTCTTTTAAAACAGCCATAAATCCTACCCCCTACCCTTCTTTACTCCCTGCTCTCCCCAGATTTTTTGCTGGGGGCACTGGTTGCAAGCCCCCAACCAGTGCACCTGGGACATTCACCCCACTAGGCAAGTCCTCACCCGCTCGCAAAGACCCTTCTCTGACTAAAGAATCTGGCTGATTTCCCTGTCCGCATTGCCATTCAGTGAGCTAACAGCATCTGAAGAATACTATCTCTTCTCTACCGAGCAGTCTTGCTCTTTTCGCCCAGTTCTGACCCAGGATAGCATCAGATGGCCTCAGGAACTGCCTTGACAGAACCTCTCCTTATTTCATAGCTCACCATCAAAGAGGGGCAGGTTTCTCAGCTGGAGACTTCTTTGCAGCCCAATCTGTAGGTGTGGCCCTCTGACAGCTCTTGGTTATGATGACAAATGGCCCCCAGTCCTGGGGTCCTTCCCGAGTTGCCCCATAAGGCCCAGCCTCCTGCCACTGGGGCAGTGGTCCGGGAATGGGGAAGCAGATCCATTTTCGTTTCATATTTATTCTTCCAAATGCCCTGGGGAGATTTGCAAATTAGGTGCAATAAATAAGCTGGACTATACAAAGATATATAATAAATAAGCTTTCATTGTTTCTTAGAAGAGGTGAAGCATTTGAGTGGGGTTTTTAAAATTTTTTTTTTTTAATTATTGTTATAGGGGAGCTGGTGAGAAATATCAGAGTTATGTAGTTCTCCAGAAATTGAAACAATTTCAGAGTCAAGGTAGAATTTTTTTTTCCTCTAATTTTAATAGTGGCAAAACATTATTCTTTCAGTGTTTTTTAAAGATGTAAATTTCAAACTGCTAAAAGAATTTGAGGTTTTGATCTTTGCATATAATTAGCTTTTTAAAAACAAGTATCACTTGGATGTTAAATGGCTTATATATATGTTTATAAGCCCAAAAAGTGATTGTTTGCTTACTTTTTAGAAATGCCTGTTTTCTGGCTCTTAATGGACAGTGAATGAAAAACGTGGTGGTTTTTCATTTGTTTCCTCTTTTAAAATTCCTCAACTGGATGTGGTTTGCCAGAGTAGGCCTGTGGCTCTTTGCTCTGGGAGGTCCTGATCTGTTTCTCTCTTCCAATAATGATCACTGAAATTGGGGAGAAGAAGTTCAATGGACTATGGGATCTTACAGGGTCATCTGAAGACAATTTGGCAGCTATCTTCACTTCCTGAAGTGGGACACATCTGGGGCTGGGAGGATAGCTATGGTGGTAAAGCGTTGCCGCCCAGGTGGTAAAGCTGTGAACGTTTTTACAGTTTTGTTTATCAGTTCCTAGAGATTGCTGGACCTGTGAGGACTCTTTAAGAATGCAGCTGTGATGATGTCGTTTCACTTTTACTTCAGTGTGAACGTAGAACTGAAGACTCATCTTTCTGATGCCTAGAAGTGCCTTGTCAAGGAATTTTCACGTTTTTAGAAATAAATATTTTTGTACACAAAGTCAAAGGGGAAATGCACTTTAAAATCACAAGAATGGATGTGTTTTGTGTGGTATAAGAGAGTGGTTTGTATCTCAAATGCAAAACTGAAATAAAGGTAGAAAAAACAAAACTGAAACTGTCCTATTTTAAATCTGATTCTATTTTTGGAGTCAGGCTGGGGAGGAATATTCTCAAACAATGTGTTTCCACATATAGAATTTAGGTTTGCAAAGGGATAGATCATGATAATGGCTGGGCTGACAAAGCTGGAAGGCACAGAGGAATGGGAGGTAACCGCTTTTTAAGTTGTCACTGAAGCAAACGTTGATTTTAGCTAAGAAAATATGTGCTGGGGAAGAAACACAGGGGCCAGTGTTGCTCTGAATCCATTTTTAATGATCCAAGGGCATGTTGCTTCCTACCTTATCACTTGCTCTCAAAGCATATTTTTGGTTTAGTGTATTCAAAGGTAGGAAAACTGTAAGTGGCTATCATAGCTTTTAACTGCTTTATCAAACTCTGTGGCCAGCAAAACCATCCAGCTTCTGATGGGCCCCCGCTCTCCGCTGGTCATGAGACATTTAAATAAGATTTCCAGAGATGGTTTATTTCAAAGTTCGGAAGGTGGAGTGGAGGGAGAGGTCTTCTATTGACAGATATTTCCTGTAAGTCAGTCTCTGCCACCATGGGGAAGAGAGTGGTTCTGGGGGGCAGGTTGGGCGGGCGGGGGGAGCACATGATTGCTTAGCACCCGGCAAATAGAGGCACAAAGTGAGCTACATACATAAAAATAACTGCCTTTCCCAAGACCATCTAATTGTCCACAATTTCCCTTCGTAAAAATGGGAAAGGGAAAAATAATAACACTTCTTTTTTATGACTATTTGAAATTCAGTATGGTTTTCATCATCATACAATTCTGACTTGTGAGAAAGATATCTCAGAGATGTCTGCAGTAAAAGGAAAGAACAAAACAAAACACTTTTCTAGAGCAGTGTTCCCAGACTAGCAAATATGAGCTCTCTGAATAATTCAGCTGAACATTTACTGCTCATCCACCATGTGCAAGATAGCGCTTAGTGTGTTTTTCTACCCAACTCCTGTAAGAGACATTCATGTTTTAGGTAAATCCTCTGGTAGCCATGAAAAGCAGAGTGTTCTGCTGTCTAGCGGCATCAAGAATTGGGGAAGCTTGGGTTCTGGCCTTGACCCTGCTGTCCCCTGTCAGCATCTTT